ATTAACCAGAGAAAAAAAATTACTCAAGGAATAATCCAAATTAGAGAAACAATCAAAATTATATGACACGAAATGCGCGCCGTATATCAAAAGCGAGGGAATTTAAGTCACGTGACTTCTTTTTTCTAAAATGTTGATGCAGTTACATAATATGTATTGGTCGAATATGAAATTTAATACATTTATTAATGTTTTGACAATAATTAATCCTAAAAAACTATGGTAATAAAAAGCATACACTTATATTTATTTGTTACGAACCACCTTGTGAAACATCAACAGTAGCAAACACGTGGTTCGTGAGATGCTCGGTGATTTCACAAGAAATTATGTTGTTGCAATTTGGTAACCAAGAAAAGCGTAATTTCGCAGATTCCACAGCTACCGGCGAAGCCAATGTCGTAATGGTCGACGAATTACCTGACTAATCCCTCCAGATTAGGTCTAGTAGGACAAGCTATGTCTAGCAGACGTCTGGCAAGATGGAGGTCAGGAAATCAATGTTATTCTAGATAGGTCGTACACGGATGAGTCGGGCTGTGGTACCACAATATTGCTACATAAGTAAGGGAAGTTGACGATTGAAAAGTTGAAGCCATCACGTTTATCATAAAGCTGTGTTGTTAGGTTACCTTTAAAGTCTTTTTCTAGTGAAATATCCAAATTTGAAACTGATGTGTCAGACTCTGCGGTACCTTTATATTTCAAGCTCACAGGGACATATGAATGGAAGTGACTATTGTTAATTGATAATACGTCTTCGATATTATTAGCTGTACTTTTGTTTACTTAAATGGGGAAAATATATTCAAATAAAGTTTCAAACTATTTTAATTTTGAGAATACCCTAGTACTTATAGTAATAAACAAATTTTATCATGCGGTGTAAAATTGCAGTTTTCACATCAAAGGGCAGATCACTCTATAGCTAACTGCAAAACATACTATGAAATTAGAATTCTAGAGATGGTTCTTAAAATTATGTATTCTTGCATTTTTGTCAGGAACAATTGTATGTAGGTACCGGTATTGCTTTGAGGTCAGCCCCATCCTTTTTTAAAAATCTTGATAATAGAAATCTTTGTCTAGTGTATTTTCTCCTCTTGACCCTACCTGAGGCCAAATAAAAAATACCTTTGTTTCCCCTAACGCGACCGACCCAATTAAAACGCGTCGACTGAAAAGTTTTTTTCATAAGATTAATGCAATATTTATTTTTTTCATTTATATATTTTTGATAATCACTGGGACAACAACTGCAACTGAGCAGTGAAGAATCTTTTTCGTGCCAGTATCTACTGCGACACTGGACCTAAGTTTTTATGGTCTCATTCGAAGGACCGGTCTCAACGTCCCGCATTGGGATTTGAACATGCAACTTAGAAATAGCTCCTTTATCGAGACTCCAAAACGAAATGCTTAGAACCACTGCACAATTCGAAGCCCTTGAAAAAGTACATTGCATATGTAATCACTGGAAGCTGATAGTAAATCTGTATGAAAAATATACTCTAACAACTGATGTCCAGTCTTTGTGTGACCGAGAATCTCTTAAACAGATGTATTCAATTTCAAAAATTTACTCTGGTATGATTCCATTTAATTTTAAGAATGTATTTTCCAAGCTGCTGTAAAAAAAATTATTTGCCTACCTACCTACCCAACGGATTAGGGGAAACAAAGATATTTTTAATGATGGCCTGACCCAAATTTCACTCATTGAAAGAACCTAAACCAATTTTCCAAGCAAAGGTCAAGGTTGAAAAAACTCGTTGTAAAATCCTTGTTTTGAGCAAATTTTCTCTCCCCTTAACTCACTTGGGCTTAACTTCATGACTTGAGTGTCCTTGGGTAGAGGGTATACATTGACCTTAAACCATTTTCTAGATGATTCTAGCTGAGAAGTCAAGGTGAAAAAATCTCTTTGCACAAGAAAACCTTGTTCAGAGTATGTCTTCTCTCCCCTCGGCTTAACTGTCTCAAATTTTACCCATAGAGTAGCCATGAGTTGAGGGTATTCAGGGATTCTAACCAATTTTTCAAGCAAAGGTCAAAGTCAAAAATACCTACTTGCGTAAAATCCTTTTCCAGAGCATATTTTCCCTCCTCTGACCTCTTTTGGGCTCATACTTTATTCATTGAGTGTCCTTGGTAGAGGGTGTGCGGTGACACTGATCCAATTTTCTAGATGAAAGTCATGATCAAAAAATTTCTTTGCATAAAAAATACTTGTCCAGAGTTTACTAGTTTATTCTTTCTAATTTCATGAAAGGTCAACATGGTCAAAGTCAGAAAACTCTTTGTGTACAATTTTTGTCCAGGTTTTATTTTTTCTCCCCTTGAGCCTACCTGGATCAAACATCAAGTTTTTATGTTGGTGGTCAAGTTTATAGCAAAACTCTGTAAATAAATTTCTTGATCATTTTCCTCCCATCCAAGTCAGAAAGAAACTACAAGTGTCTAGTGAGTTTTAGGCCTAAATCTTTTACAAAATACATGACTGTACATGTTTTCATATTTTGAGTATGCAAAAATGATCTAAACTAAGTTTGAAAACTAGTCACATGGGCCCTCACTTGACTTGTTTCAGATGGGAAAACATACCCCTCAGAGACTGAGTTATAATTACTATACTCGGACCTGTACAAAATTGGACTAGACCGGATGAAATCATCACTATCTTAATTAAAATAACAAGAAACAAACTAGAAGTGTGATAAAATCGATAAAAAACAGAGTTAATTTCTCATGTAAAACATGCTATATTTTGTATGTTGTTTAACTTTTTCCTCGTGTCAATTTAGTCCCTCCCTTTTGCTCAGTACCAAATCTCATGGTACTTGGGAAAAGTTTTCCAATATATATACTTATCCTATGCATCCAAAAATTTAAGAAGGTTTATGTATCGATTATTTTGTTGGGCAAGTGCTCCAGGGTCATCCCTACCCCCAAACACCACCCCACCCACCCACCACCCTCCTTGAGATTTAGCTCACCTGACCTGAAGGCTCAAGTAAGCTTTTCTGATCAAATTCTCTGTCATCGGTGTTGTCTTTGTCGTAAAATTTTTACAATATCATCTTCTTTTCAAGAACTACTGGACCAATTAAAACAAAACCGCCCCGAAGTATCCTTGCGTAAAGGAGATTAAAGTTTATTCAAAGGAAGGATCAAGCCCTCTTTAAGAGGAGATAAGAACAACTGAAAATTTCAAAAATTTTCTCCTCAAGAGCCACTGAGTCAGAAAGCCTAAAATTATATGTGAAAGCTTCATTAAATAATATTGTAGATTCATTTTTTCAAATCATGTCTTCCAGGAATAGGGTGGGGCTACAAGAGGCGATAAAAGTTTTACATGGGAACATATAGGGAAACCTTGTAGCATATCTACAGAACACCACCAATCGTCTTCCAAAAAATGATAAGGCTACTGCGTAAAATGTAAAAGGAGTTCTGGGAACTAGGGTCTTTAGTATAAAAACGCTATTTTTCGACCTCCATTTGTCCCCCAGTGTGAAAATGAAAATTCTGAAACCTTATTGCACATCTACAGGACACCACCAATTATCTTCCAAAAGATGATCAGACTACCTTGTAAGTAATGTAGAAGAATTCTAGGAACCAGAGGCTTTTGTATAAAAAACGTCATTTTTCGACCCCCATTTGACCCCTGGGTGAAAATGAAAATTCCGAAACCTTATTGCACGTCTACAGGACACTACCAATCATCTTCCAAAAGATGATTGGGCTATTGCGTAAAATGTAAGAGGAGTTCTAGGAACCAGAGGCTTTTTGTATAAAAAACATCATTTTCGACCTCCATTTGACCCCCAGTGTGAAAATGAAAATTCTGAAACATTATTGCAAATCTACAGGACACCACCGATTATAGATCAAAAGATGATTAGGCTAATGCGCACAATGTAAGACGAGTTCTGGGAACCAGATCTTAGTAGAAAAAGCATCATTTTCGACCCCCATTTGACCCCCAGGGCAAAATTGAAAATTCCAAAACCCTATCGCACATCAACAGGACACCAACTATCATATTCCAGAAGATAAATTGATTACCTATTAAAATAAAAGATGAGTTTCAGGAAGAAGACAGTGTGACAGACGGACGGACGGATGGACAGACCAGGTAAGAACAATACACTTTCTTTAGAAAGTGCGGCTATAATGAAGACTAAGTTAAAAAAAGGTTTTTTTAAAAAATGTTTTTAATTTAACGGTATACTATGATATCAGAAGAGCGCAACCCAAGCAATATTTCTCTGGTATTAGTTCGTTCAATTACACAAATCTGTATTTTTCAATGCTCACTAAAAAGATCAGGATATATATATCCTATGCAAATCTTGTAATTTCATTGTTTTTGCCAAGTGCTGGTATAATTTCTATTTGTTTATAGCTAGATTTACTTAATAATATAAAATTTTGAAATATTGGATTGTAGGTAATTTGGTATACTAAGTGTGCTATATGGCTTTACTTGTTGAAAAAAAAAACACAATCTGATTGTAAAAGAAAAGTACTACGAAAAGATGCTTGAGTTTTACGATTGACAATATCTAGTTTTAGAGATCAGGTGGTCTTCCAATAATCTGTCGGAAGATTACGCCACGTTATGCCCTGTTCACAGAGTGTTATTACTTGTAGTTTTTTCGTTGCTGTTCGTTATCTTCACCTTTTTCATTTTTAGCAGATTTGTTTTTGTATTCATATGACGCAAATTGTATTTAAAAAATCTTCTCCATGAAAAGAAGTTTCTTGCTGTGACCTGTTAAGCCGACATTTTGTCAATTAACATATTCATTTTCATTCCTATGTTGATTCGAAATGTCCCTTTGAATTTGAAATAAAAGCCACAACGGCGTCTGACAATCTTTTTCTTTTGATATTTTATTATTATATATTATTATATATATTATTATTGCAAGTTTCAATACTTCAGCACACTGATATGTTACAGTGATATTGCATATATCGATTGTTTAATTACAAAGAATACAAGACAGTGAAGCGCTCATTTCATTGCAGGTATTTGATTTTCTTCACATGTCGGCTTCCCCATTGAACTACAAACAGATTGTCATTTGTATCTGTACAAAGTCCCCAAGGATAAATCACACAATCTATGTAACGGAGGAACTGTCCATCCTGGTCTATGATGTGGACACAGTCATTGTTATAATCAGCTGTAAGGATGTGACTCTGACTGTCTGTGATGATTCCTCGTAAACTGATAGGTTCATTATTTGAAGAAGTAGTACGAGAATGTCCAGTGTACCTGAATCTCAGTTTCCCGGCCTGATTGACCACCACTACTGCTTTAGCTCCACTGTCAGACACACAGATATCCAGGTTCCTGTTCTCAGTTATAAATCGGTCATAACTACCTGTTGAATAGAGAGGTTTACCTACGTCATCAAACTGAATGGTTTGTTTTTCTGCGAAATCAGAATAACTGACAACTTTTATTTGTTTGTCATCATCACTTTCCATGATAATCAGGAGGTCACCAGAGGAGGTGCCACAGACACTGCGAGGTTTCCAGTTCCGTAATCTGATCACATTCTTTGTTTTTTCATTGTTCACAAAATTCACAGTTCTATCATCGTAATCAGTATAAACTAGATCTCCACTTTTGGTAACAGCTATATCAGATGGCGAGTTCCCTGACTTGGTTCTGATTGACTTAAGTTGTTGTGGTTCCTCGAGCTCGTTGATGCTGAAGAGTTTCATGAGGTTGCCAGTTCCACTTGCCCATATTTCTTCATCACTCAGACAGGCTACATTGTAAGGGTGTCCATACCCAGTGCGTATGTTAATGATAGTCTGAGGTTCATCAAGCAGCTGTTTGACTGGAGGAGAGGATGCAGCATCTGTTGATTTATGTATTGTTGTCATGCTGTAGCCATGTTCATCTGAAGTTAAAGAACTAGATGTTAAGGTTCCAAAAATTTCTCCGAGGATTTTTCCTGGAATGAATTTTGGTAAAGATGGTACTAGTTTTTCTGGAAGTTTTCTGTACATATGTACATTTGATGTAACACTTAATAGTTCTGACATGTCATAAGTGTCTATTGCAAATTCTGTTGATTTGATATCATCCTGAATGTTAGAAATTTTCTTGTTAATTTCATCCAGATGTTTCTGTAGAGTTTTGAACTGTGTGCTTTTCATTTGATCAACTTCAGCTTTAAGTTTCTTGACAAGTTTGTCAATTTCTCTGTAGCAATCCATTCCATGTTTTGTTATGGCTGTTGAGAGATCCTCATATTCCTTTTCTAACTGACTCATTCTGTTTTGTACATCAGAGGCAATGACATGGTACGTGGGATAAATTGTATCATTTAATTCAATTCTTTCTCTTATAATCGTGTACTTCTTTTTTTCCAAAACTTGCAAGATTTTAGATAATTCATGACCTAAATGTTGCTTGGATGCAAGACAGCTGTTACAGACAGGAATATCACATTGATTACAGTACATTTCACATCGTTCTTTGTCATGAGATTTACATCCAGGGTAGAGGGGAGTGGATTTTCTAAGAGAGAATTTAACAACTTCATGTTTTTTGGATTCATCAGATAACATGTGTTCTCCCACACAGGCCTTACACAGGTTGACAAGACATGTATCACAGTGCATCTGTACCACAGCAGTCTCGCACAGGTCACATCGCAGCACGTCCTGGGCACTGGTACGGGGGTTCATAGTTAATTTTTGTGACTTGAATCAGAATCTGAAGCAAAAAACGATCAAATTTCTTCTTATGAATATTTACACAAAAGAAGAAAATGAACTGCTTTGCCATTACATGAACATATAGACAAGTCACGTTTTTATATACAAGATATACATTAAATCTTTTCATAAAAGAACTTAAAGAAATACTTGTGAGTGAATTTTGTCCCCCATTGGTAAAGCATACTGAATTTCTAAAATGTTTTAAAACTGTTTATTTACAAAAATATATCCTTATTAAGTAACTCTTCCTATATATTTATTACCTGACTTGAGTTATGTTGGTCATCCTGTCGATCAATCTCCTTTTAGCACAGTTTGTTTCTAAGGACTCTTATCATGTTACTCAGTAACCTGTGTTATCTACCTGTCAGGCATTTATACTTCCTTGACAGCATGGGAATAATTTAGATTAAATACCTAGAGAAATTGCAATACAGGGATATTTTATGTAGATGTATGTGAATTTAATCAATTTATTATTTATTTTAATTTTTCTTTTAAATTAAAGCACAAGGAAAGTAATAAGTCCATTGTGTATTTAAAAATGTATCATTCAAATGAATATCTTTACATAAAATTGTGAAATTTTGGTCCACAAAAGAAGTGGAATCATGCTTGGATCCAGCCGGGGGGATATCTGGGATTTTCAGTTTTTTCAAATTTGTAAAGAAAGGTAAAGATAACCTTGCTCCCCCTTACTAGAAAACATGGACCCTTGGTAAAATGGAAAGGAAAATCATTGATATACATGTATATGATTGAAAGCAACTTATCCTTCTTACTTTCTCCCCCCCCCCCCCAAGAAATAGTTTTACGGTTTGGAGAAGTTAAGGCTTGATTATTTTTTGCTTGTAAAAATGTCTGAATTGGAATTTTCTGAGTGGGTATCCCCCCCCCCCCCCCCCGAAAAAATTCTGGATCCGCATGTCTACTGTTGACATGAAAATTTGGGCCACAAAATCTGAATCATTTAATTTCTTGCCTTTATTTGTATCATCATTAACTCTTTAAAATATCTATCAATATATCTTGTTTCTTTTCAGCAAATTGTTTTAATTTGACGCAATTTTTACATGCTTTAAGGAGTACACAAATATTTTTTTAGTTAAACTTTCAGAAATTTAATTTTAGCAAAATATGCTACAACATATTTTTCTATATATACTTTTACAAGTTCTTTTATCCCCAAAAGTTTTTGCATATTCTTTAAAAAGAAAAGTAGTGCGTGACGCTTAGAAAGGGTCACATAGGGATGATAAAGTTATCTCATACATGGCCGCATGGAATTAAAAAATAAAATACCCCCCCCCCCCAGGAAATCAAGCCCCTCTTCGTTTTTTTTAAAATTAGATTCAGTTATCTCCCTGCATGCACATTTGCACTTTTTACCAATATAGCCGTCGTGGCAAGTGGTTAGAGTTTTCGCTTTAGAGTTGCGGGGTAAAGAACTAATCCCTGCCTCATGGGTTCAAATCCATTGTATGACGCGGAAAATGTACATTTAAGACTAAGAGAGGCCAATGTGAAGGGATTGAGATGGATTTACTAGTAGTTCTCAAGAGCTATTGTTTTGTTACCCCCGCAAGGGGATAATGACAAATAGGAGTAAGAATGGGCAAGTCAACAGATCAACTTGAAGTTTTGTTACTGAGCACTAAGTTAACTATTTTGCTGATTCCTGATCATCCTATTTCTCTTGCTATTGGGCAACATAGCTTCGTCTCTCAGATTATTTTGTTTTATTTTATATTCAATATACGGATCTTTTTAGTGTTACGTTATACTGAAGGTGACTGTTGAGGCCATTTGACATATTGTTAAGCTTTTGTTTTTTTTTTAAACAATTTTAATATGGCCGTTTCCTTCCACCTGATCAATACACAAGGCTCACAGGTGGTGGGACCGATTGACAGGGGATGCTTACTTCTCCTAGGTACCTGATCCCACCTTTGGAATTCTCAAGGGTCCGTGGTTTTTTAAAACTCTGTTCAAAGATTAGTATTTTTTGTGTGTTTGTTTGTTTTTTCTTTTCTTTTCTTTTTTTTTTTTTTTACATCTAACAATGATCGTTATCTTAACCTTTTTCATATAAGAATTACGAACAATGATCATGCTTAAAAGTCAATTTAAACAATACAGATTGTAAGCACAGCCAACAGGGGACTCTGAAAACTGAAATGGTGTCTTGTACCATAAAGGAATTAGCACCCCCTATCGACCGCATAACCTGCCGCATGCCCCTTGTCATGTTCGTACAAGGAGAAAAATCCATTGACATCTCAGTTTGAAATGATGGCTAAACAATTTGTATGAAAGACAGAGTCAGCATTCCATCTAACGACAGATTGGATTTCCAAATAATGTCATTGTATCGACAACAGAATTTGCGAAATGTTGACTTTAAATGAGATTGTTGATATCTTTGTATCAACAACTTATCTGTAAAAATCTACCTGGTTTTTGAAATTGTTTGTATATATAACACTAGATGAAATCCCGCGCAAGCGCAGGAAATTGAATTTATACCACTACCGACAGAAAATATATTCTAGTTCTCTACTGACAGCCTACAGGTTTATAGCAGGAACAAATACTTTGTTCAAAATCCTGCATGAAGTAGATTTACCTATCCTCCCCCCCCCCCCCCGTTTTTGTGTTTGTTTTTTTTTAACTTGAAAAAAAGCAATTTCATTAATTGACGTTTATTGTGAAACCTGTCATACTATGTTATGGATATTGTACTTCAGATGCTCTTATTTCATTTCCGTCAAGGATAAAAACAACGAATGGGGGGAGGGGGTAAAAATTCACAGGTACTTGGGTCTTGGTTTATAAATATGTTTGTACCTTATTGATATGTAAATATGTACTTTACTTTTTTACATATCAATAAGGTACTATACATTTTTATAAACCAAGAACCAAGTACCTGTGTAAAAATTAGCTTTTAACGCCCTATGAATAGGCTGAGTATTTGATACAAAAGACTAAGCTGTAATAATGTAGCCCTCTCCGATTTTTTTTTTGATCTGATATTTTCTGGGTTCTCTCTCTCTCTCTCTCTCTCTCTCTCTCTCTCTCTCCCCCCCCCCTCAAAAAAGGAGAGGGCTACATTATTGCAGCTATAAAAGATTGTATTCAGAAATTAACTGTGCATTGATTAAAGCGCAAATTTTTACATCTTTAATTGTATTTGAACAATACCTTATTCGTTAATTTTCTCTTTTCATGTAAGCAAGTTTATTACGAAGTGCAAATTGTACTTTGGGTTCGTTGCTACGATACAAATTTTACCGACAAATTTATTAGGAAAACCTACTATATACATGTATATGTAATAGTCTTTCGACATATAATTATATTCACAACTTAAAGTGTTATCAGTGATTTACCATTATTTCAATTTTGACCATTTACACAAAAGTTTTTTTTTATGGTCATGTAGCTATAATCGCCTCGTTTTTTTCTTAACATCGGGTTCGACGCTGTATGATGTTCTAGAAGCTTCCGTCAATATAAAGATCGGTGAATGACGAAAATATTTTGCACATTTCCCTTTTTAATCGGTTATCACAACTTATTTCTTTTATATCATTTAAATCGAGTTTTGATTGAATAATTCAGTGATGACGTTTTATGTAATAAATAAACGATTGCTTTTTGTCAGTTTCATTAAAAATTGCCAGTTTGAATGTTTGAATTTAAATGTTATACAAAATTGCAAATTTTTAGGCAAATGCATTAAATAAAACTCAAGATATTAAAAATCAAAATTTTGGCTTAATTCTGTCCTCAGTTTATGGTCTTTGGGGCCTGGTCTCCAAAATATACATAGATGTTGGATAAAGAAACTAAAGCATCGTTTTTAAAATCGATCACGGGGTACTGATGTGTAGAATCAGAATATTTTTTTTAACAAAATATGTTTTCAGACGACCAATGACAATGAAGGTATGCAAATTTACGAGTTCCGTGTTTATTGACACGGAACTCGTACCATAATATAACGTAATTATATAACATTATATTGTCTATAACGTTAAATAGCCAAGAGCCCGTCTCATAAAAGGTCGTACCACCAGTCGTAACTCTTCGCTTGTGTAATTTTAGGACTAGCACTGCCATTTGCCTTTCATTATAGAGCATATCTTTACGCCGTACTAAAGCTTACACATGGGTAGGGTTAAACAAAAAAAGGTCTCGTCTTTACTGATTTGAAAGTAATATAGGTATTTCTTGAAAAGAATTACAGTTTTAAGAAGTTTGTTTTATACAAACGATACATTATCTAATTTCACATACATGCACCGTGAAGGGGGGGGGGGATTACACCCATCCATGGACCTACTTAACATGCACTATTTACATAACTTACTTCAATAATTGTCTTCTTGAAAGATTACCTTATAAGGGGTCCATTCGATCACCATCTCTTAAATTAAGTTAATGTGCAATACTACACATTGTTTTGTTGTATTGAGAGTATGAGGCATTGTTTATATTCTATATGACATATATTTTTTCTCATTCACTGTAGAAAAAGTACTTTTTGAAAAAGAGTAATCTTTACACAGAAGTATTTTTTATATTATCTAAATGCTACTGAATCCCTACAAATGGTAGCAAACTACTTCCATCTACCGTGTTCTAAATTGCAAACATTTTAATTTTTGTACATGGCATTGCAAGTACATTTTTTTTCAAACTAAAAAAAACCCATTAAGGTGTTTCGCTTCTGACGAATTTGAATGCACCGCGCAACTCGAACTGCCGGAAATTGGTCTGAATGTCGTTTTAATAAAGAATTCAGTATGACAGAAAAATAATAGTTTATTTTAAGTAATTATAATAATTATCCGTAGAAAGTAACATAATATTGATTTTTGTGCCAGAAGAAAACATATAATAACTATTTTATATTTCGCGGAAAATTAAGACATGTGAGACGGATTACGATAATGTAAGTAAAAAGCAGACGTGAAGTAACGTTCGGCGCGTAAACTTTGGTTAAGATGGTGAAACCAAAGTACAGACGCCATGGGTTCGTTTCGAAAACGAAGAAGGAGAGATATGAAAAAGTATCTGCAGGGCAATTGACCCGATGGATTAGGGGAGCTATTCTTAGAGACCACAATTACTCCGCCAGTGCAACTCCTGTTAACATTGATCATGATCAAGGTTTGTATACATACGTGTATCATATCTAAAAAAAAAAAAACCAGTTTGCACATCTGCATCTATGTTAGATCTATCTTAGAAATATTAAAGGAAGGCACATGATGTCCATTACAGTGCGCCGTTCTAGTCCTTATAACATTTTAAGTCATAGGCCTATATGTTAATTTTTTTTATAGTTTAACCTACATGTAATAAATATATATAAGATATATATTTTTTTAATTTACTTTTGCTGTTCATTGCTGTGGTTCAAAGATTATAAAATGTTAAAGCTTGATGAAATAATATACTCATTTGATCCCTTCACATTGTGATGGAAAGTTACATTACAAAACAGATTGACACAAATTATGCAAAAATGTATGAAAGGTGAAATCTCACAATATTTATCACAATACTGAGATGCAGTTCCAGTGTATCATGATACATAGCGGATGATTAATGTTTTGTAGCTGAATATGGAATTTATTTCACTAGTGGGATAGGATTTTTTTTTATATTTTCACAAGTGTCTTTGAAAACACAAATGAAAATCTATTTTTAAAAAAAAATCCTGTCTCATGATTGAAATAAATTCCATATACAACTACAAAACATTGAATTTTCTGTTGTTACATTTTCTTTGATTTTCCCTTTACCTTTATTCATTAATTGTTTGTATTTTTGTAACACAGTGTGAATAGGCTGTGTCATCATGTATGTGTGGTTGAGATGTCATAGCAAATAAGAGATTGAAAACAAATAAAATGGATTTCAACAACATATTTGGAGAAACTTTGGAAATCTCTATCAGCAAAGGTGGATACAGGGCCAGCCCCCCCCCCCCTTTTGAATTTTTTGTATGTAGAACTTTTATGTCCATTATCCTAAAATCAAGGAAAAAACATCTCTTATTTGTAAGAATTCATCAGTTTCCAGGCACCCACCAGGGCTTTGCCCTAGACCCACTGGGGGTCAATGCAGTACCCCATACCCCCTGCCTTCTACTGCGCCCCGCTGTTATGCAATTCCTGGATCCGCCACTGATCAGGATGGTTTATTTATCTTATAACAGGTCCAGGACTAAAAATAATTACTTTTTTTTTCACTGGCCACTCAGGCTATCGCTTAAATTTTTACTGGTCAATTTTTTAACTCAGCAGTCTAGTACTTTCACTGTCACATTGGGCCAGTAAATTTTAAAAAGACTGGCCCAAAACCATAATAATAGAAATAAATTGTTTATATTGTGTTACTTCTTAGTAAAATGGAACAAAACAGCAGAACTTGGATGCACAACCCTGTCAAGTTAACTATCCCAACACCATGAATGCATGAATTTTGTTATGCATATATGCACATGCTAAATAGCATATACTTACATCTTAAATGTCAAAAATATGCTGTATATCGGCACTATGAACTGTTGTAAGTGTATCAAAAGTAGTCAACTTGTCAGCATGTGTAGATAGTAAAGAACGTTATGTGTATCCTGGTGATAATTTTTATTTATTCATTCTTTATTAATAGAATTGCCAAATTTAAATATACTGGAAAGAGAGGAGGTGGTGGATGGGGGAGAAGTGACTACATCTGAGGATTGGAAGGAGGGAAGGAGAGTGGTAGAACTTGGAGTGTTAGCTGAGGGCTTGCGGGGATGTTGTAAATGTGGCTTACCATTGCAACTTTCACACACAATTTCTGTACTGACACATGGTTTAGCTTCTTTGTTAAAGGTATAAACTCATAAATTTATGTCCAGTTAGTTAGAAAACAACTTTGAAAGCTTGAAAGGTTTTTTTTCATGGATTTTTCTCAATGTAAAATAGGCATTATTCCATGTCCTTATTAAAAGTTTTGAAAGGTTTTACAATATTTTTTTTATCATATTTGAAATGATGCATATTGAAATTCTTTTTTTCCCCAGCATTTGATATTCATTAACGGTGAATGAATTTATTACAGTGACCTGTAACTGGGGATTCATTGGTTTTACATTCACATTTCAGGTCTGTTGCAGCAATACAAAGTGTAATCATATTAACCATGTAAAAACGGGGAAAAAACATGGAAAAGTGTGGGATGTAAATACAAAACTATCAGCAGGTGAGAAGTTTCACTTACACATCCCCTACATCAGATACACATATATTAATTTTTGTCAGGTCACAAGAGCCTAATTAAATTTTAGCTCATTTTTGTACGTATAGGTTTTTCCCCATTGTTCAAAGATTTCATAAGTGCCACTTGTTTTGCATGAACTTGAAAGAATTTATATATATATATATATATTAAATGTTTAGTTCAGAATAAAAACTTGTTGAGAAGCCATTTTTAACTTATTGAAGCCAGAGGCTCATTTGAGCTTTCTGATCTAAGTTTTTCCATTTATCTGTCTGTCTGTTAACTTTACAAAATTATACCCCTGCTCCAAAGGAGAGGGGGGTAAACTGTTTTACCCTTGTGTTTTTAGCACACTCTTTGTTATCCCCTCGCGCAGCTAGTTGCGGAGAGGATATAGCATCGCTACTGTGCATATATGTGTGTGTTTGTGTGTGTGTTAGTGTGTCCGTTACAGCTTGTTAACAAGATTTAAGGAGAACCTTTGTACTATCAAATCTCAGCTTCCACATACTTATGTGGGATTGTGAAAGGACAAATCCTATTCATTTTCAAGTTAATCAGTGAAATATTTCTTTAAATATTGCGTACCTTCAAGCCCTGAAATTTTATATACGACTTGACAATACTCACTTCCTGTTAATCAAACTGGTAAATTCGGATCGCTTCGATAGACTCGCTTCAGTAAGTTCTACTATGTATTTGCATATTTATATTGTCATATTATTGTGCGTATCTTGAGACAATCTGTCTGAATTAAAAGTGTCATCTCTGACACTGAGTAATTGAAATAATTTGATGAACGTTGCAGTTTCATTATTAAATTTCCACATGTGTCTGTTTACAATATAGAATTTATCCTTATTTCTTCTGAAAGCTATAAAGACATTTCGCAAGTTTCATTGACCTCTCAACACTGACATATTGTTATTTTTCATTACGAAAAAATATTGCTTCCACAGGTATTCTCAGATTTTATCCATATTGCATAGGTAAATTACTGAAACTTAGAGCATACGTGATATGTTTCTGCTAGGAATAAGGGAAACTGCCCAATTACGTATGCATGTTATGCCCCCACCTCTCCCCACCAATATGATATGCACTTTTAATTTTTGTTAAAAATGGATCCCCCATCCCCCCCCCCCCCCCAAGATAATATCAACTTTGACTTTTGTTAAAAAATTAATTAGTGTTGCAATACATTTTATGTACTTTACCTTATTGTAAACTTTATATAGTAATAGTGGGTGCCCTTGATAACTAGGTGATTGTATCTTTCTTAACATCCCTCTTGAGAATTATTCTCTCGTATGGAGACATTACCATTACTGGTGAAGTTCCTCTGTGAGGGGATGCTCCACTTAGCGGTGCTCTTGTTTTCGCATGCCATATGGTAAGATTCATTTTTATACGAATCAGATGTCTACTTCCTGTTTATCCATGCGTCTGTCCATACCAAATTTCTGTCGCAACTGAACTTGTGTATATACAGTAAAACTCAGTTATAGCAAAGTCCAAGGGACCTGTGAAATTACTTCGCTATATCCGTAATTCGTTATATCTGTATTACGAATTTGTTAAAGTATATATATTGAATTTGCAATTCATTATAAAAATTCATTATAAAAAATGTAATTTTTATTATTTTTAATCTCTACGGGACACAAAATCAGTTTGCTATATCTGTAAATTCGTTATATCAGAGTTTGTTATAGCTGTAATATTTTCTTAGGATTTGTTAAGAATTTTGCTGGGGATTCCAAAAAACTTCACTATATCCGTAAATTCTCTATATCTGTGTTTCTACATGAGAACATATATTTACATCAGAGCAGGGGTATTACTAGTGAGCATTGGCTCACAGACTTCTTGTTTAGATTTGTTCTCTGAACCACTGGACTTAACAGATTTTACATAATGCAATAGTACATGGAAAAAATCTTTAAAAATTAAAAATCATCTTCTCTGTAGAAGAGCAAAGCCATATAACCGTATTAATCATATTGATATTGAATCATCCCAATGTTATGTAGATCAATTTAAGTTTGGTAACCATTACCCCTTGGGGGTTTGAGTACAGTATGGATCTTTTTTTTTTTATTTCCTGGGAATACAGAGAAAAATGAGACTCGGGTGAGTGTTGTGGTTCAAGAGCCTCTTGTTTTAATTAGATTGATATTTTTTTTTTCATTTTTGAATTTGTATTTACAGCAATGGTACATGTTGGCATTGGTGTAACTCAAGTTAACAGTCTCCTTTCTGAGCTGAATATACCACCTGTTAGTCATGCCATGCTAGACAATAGACAGAAAGAGATTGGCAGAGCTGTCCAAGATGTTGCTGCAGAGTCTATGTCTAATGCTTTGCAGAAGGAACTGGGAATGATGAATGAGTGTGTATACAATATAAATTCAGTTTAAAATCTCACTTTTTAGCTCAACTGAGCCAAAGGCTCAATTGAGCTTTTCTGATCAAAGGGTGTCCAGCAACCATGTGTAGTGGTCATCTGTTAACTTCTCACATTTTCGACTTCTCCACACAAACCAATTTCGACCGTACTTGCCACAAAGCATCTCTGGGTAAAGGGATTCAAGTTTGTGCAAATGAAAGGTCAGGATTCAAGTTTGTTCAAATGAAGAGTCATGTTTTCTTTAAAAGGGAGATAATTAATAATTAGAGAAAATTTAATGTTATGTTTTAAAAGTCTTCTTTAAGAACCACTTGGCCAGGAAAGAGGAAATTTATGTGAAAGCTAGCTTCATTACATAGTGTAAAAATCATGACCCCCCAGGACTAGGGTTTTTACAAAAGGTGATCAAATTTTATTCAAGAATATATAGGAAAAATGGTTTTTTTTTTTAAATTAGGTTGAGACTACAATAGCGGATTAGAGTTTTATAAAGGAGTACATAAGATAGAGTTGCAAGATCACACTAAATCCTATAAATTACTAACACATATCTAAGATGTGAAGAGTAGATTTTTAAAAAAAAATTATTAGCACTGGGGTTAGAGTTGAGCCAAAATCAGAGCAGTCAAATTTTACATAATGCATGTGTAAAGGAAAAAAAACCAGCAGGACCATGTTGATCATATTTATATTGAAGCATCCCAATGTTGTGTTGATTAAACTTTGAATAAATCATATAACTCCTTTAGTCTACATTTTGGTCCACCGCATGGAGTCAAAATATTTATAAAAAATTTAATTTTGGTTGTAACGCATTATTTGATTGGATAAAAAATTTTAGTTTTTATGGTATAACCTGTGTTGCCTACGTCACAATGACTTAATGTACGTCAAAAACGTATCAATCCGCTTGGTGTTACTTTTAAAATATGTGCAATTCGAAGGCATTTCTGAAGGAGAAATTGTCTTATTGATTTAAAAAATTAAATTATAAGGAGTGAATTTAATAGCTACATATACTGGTATAACTTGGGTTGGAACAGTTTATGACTTTTTATATACTGCTTCGCAGTTACTAGATATACTTATAAATGTTAGTTTTAGTCATCTACTGCATAATTAGTGCTGATAAATATGCAGATTGTTATGCATATTAGGGAGGTGTTCTAAAGGAGACAGGTTCACAGGCTAATAACTGATGTCTGTTATTTAACTATCTTTCAGAGAGATGAATGAAAAGGGACTAGTTGTTGCTGTAGATGCTGGATGGCAAAAACGGGGAAGTGGAAAGACATATGATAGTTTGTCAGGTAAAAATAGACAAATTTTAGGAAAATGAAACAAATATTAATGCATAGAGTGATTTATTTTGGCCTGCGTCCCCCATGAATTATGCATTAATTTTGCTCAGGACATGATTCCAATAAATATGTATGCAAACAGATGCAGTAAAGAATGGGTGGAGTTAACGCCCTTTGGATCTTTTTGCAATTCCTCTACCAAGCTGTAAATGAAGTGAATCCAAAATATATTGCAAGCAATAGAAAGAGTTACGTATACATGGTTATATTAGGTAGAACATTTGTACAAAAGCAAGGCCTTTTGCCATGAATCAAAATTGAAGCAACGATACATTAGTGTCGTCTTCCGGAATTTGGCATGTACCCGGAGTGGTTTTTAGGTCACGTAATCAAATTTATAGGAGGTGGGGCTATCGATCGGCATCATTGTTGACATCTCTCTCTCCCTCTCTAGAAATTCGAATATGTGTATGGCATATTGCAGCGATGTCAATATGACCCTGATTATCTATTGATTATCTATTGATATTCAAGAAATCTTCAGGCACCATGCCTTCGATATTTATTTAGTTTACCTCAAAAAGAGTGTTTTAAATCCACACCTGTACCATGAATACATGGTTAAGATATCGGGGATTTATATGATAGAAAGAAAGAAACATTTTATGAAAAAGATACATGTATCCCAAAGTTCAACTGTACATTGAAATTTTAAAATATTCTTCCAAAGAACAGCCATTAGTAGTCATGTATAGATACAAGCATGCTCAGGTAAAGCATATTCAATTTTGTTTGAACTATGGCCCCAAGGGGGTAAGATGGAGCCACAAAAAGGGATATAATTTTTACATGGGAATTTATAGGAAAAAACTCATTAAGGAAGAGCCTTAATGAGTCAAATCAATATGCAAGCACTCTCATTAGCAATATTAGGTGAATTTTATTCAGAGGAATAAAGAAAGGAAAAACTTTTGTATAGATTATCTTCTAAAGTGTGATAACCCATTGGCATTGTTTTGAAATTGGGTGTTAAATTTTTCTTTTACTTCAAAATATGTACTTTTTTAGGTCATTGTTCCATGGTTGGCCCTCTCTCTGGCAAAGTATTGTCATATTCTGTGAGGTCAAAGAATTGCAGAGTATGCAGTGTAGCTGAAACAACCAACAAGAATCCAGCAGCCCATGAGTGCTCAAAGAACTGGGAGGGAAGTTCAAAGGCCATGGAGGCAGATATGGTTATTGAGATGGTAGAAGATTTACAGAAAAGTGAAGGAATAACCATTGACGGAATCATAGGAGATGAGGATACCACCACAATAGCAAGATTAAAAACTAATGTCAATGCTAATATCAAGAAGTTGTCTGATAAAAATCATCTGAAGAAACTGTTTACAAACTCTTTGTTTACCTTGAAGAAAGAACATTCATCTCTAACTTTGTCTGTTATAAAGTATATTCAAAAGTGCTTCAGTTACTCCATAGCACAGGGAAAAGGAAATGCTCTTCAAATCCAAGAAGACCTCTCATCAATACCATACCACATCTTTGGAGATCACGAACACTGCTCCGCACGGTGGTGCAAGTTCATCGACAACCCTAACCTGCGCTACAAGTCTCTTCCACAAGGAAAACCGCTCAAAGATAGGTTCCTTCAGGATGATCTCAAAGAAGTTTTCAGTTCATATGCAAGTCATTCTGATCGTCTTTCATGTTTAGGAAGCACGCAATCAAATGAGAGTTTTAACAGAATGGTGTCTGCAAAAGCCCCAAAGACCCATCATTACAGCTCCTCTTCAAGCCTCAGATATAGAGTTGCTGCGTGTGTAGCTCAGAAAAATGAAGGTCACAGATATCTTATAAAGGTATGTTAATTTTTAGCTCAAGTGAGCTTTTCTGATCACCCGTTGTCCGTCATCCGTCTCTCCATCCATCTGTAAACTTTTCACGTTTTCAACTTCTTCTCAAGAACCACTGGGCCAATTTTAACCAAACTTGGTACAAAGCATCCTTGGGTGAAGAAGAGCTTAAATTGTTAAAATGAAGGGCCAAGTTCTCTTCAAAGGGGAGATAATCAAGAAAATACAAAAATTGGGTGGGGTCATTAAAAAATCTTCTTCTCAAGAACCACTGGGCCAGAAAAGCTGAAACTTATGTGGAAGCATCCTGGGGTAGTGTAAATTCTAAGTTGTTCAAATCATGACCCCCGGGGTAGGGCAGGTCCACAATAGGGAATCCAAGTTTTACATTGAAATATATAGTAAAAATCTTTAAAAATCTTCTTCTCAAGAACCACTATGCCAGAAAGGCTGAAACTTATTTGGAAGCATTCTGGGGTAGTGTTGTTTCTAGATTGTTCAAATCATGACCCCCGGGGGTAGGGCTGGGCCACAATAGGGAATCCAAGTTTTACATTGAAATATATAGTAAAAATCTTTAAATATCTTCTTCTCAAGAACCACTGGGCCAGAAAGGCTGAAACTTATTTGGAAGCATTCTGGGGTAGTGTAGATTCTAAATTGTTGAAATCATGACACCTGGGGGGTAGGGTGGGGCCACAATAGGGAATCCAAGATTTACATTGAAATATGTAGTAAAAATCTTTAAAAATCTTCTCAAGAACCACTGGGCCAGAAAAGCTGAAACTTATGTGGAAGCATTCTGGGGTAGTGTAGATTCTAAATTGTTCAAATCATGACCCCTTGGGGTAGGGTGGGGCCACAATAAGTACTACAAAGGGGGGGGGAATCAAGTGAAAAACAGCAAGGCCAATGGTAAAAAAAGGAGCGAGTTTAGTCCCAAGTTAGAGCTTGGGGCGGGGCCAAAGTAGCCGTAGTAAAGGTGACCATCAAGGCCCATGATCCATTTGTTTTATAATGTATGTTGTTTGCATTACATATATTCCTAACAATATTTCTACTGTGTGTACTTTTGTTATGTGAGAATATTAATCTCTTAGATTTTAAAATTCTGCAAATTTTAATCAAAAGCAGATTAATGAATGTATTGCATATTTAGTTGTACATAATGGATTCTTATATCCTTATTAAAGGTGAACAAGAAATTAGGCCTCTCTCCTGGCTACTATACTCGAAGACAGTGCATTCTGAGGGATCTCCAAAGAAAACGACAGAAGGCCATTTCAATGACACAGAAATTTAAAAGGAGAAGGAGAGAATTGAAAGCCAAGAGGTACTAGTATACTTTTATTGTCATTTGTCAGAGTGCAACAAAACTCTTGTCTAACTGAAAAGTGAAAACCAACCAAGGACAAGTGGATGTCCCTGCTGATAAGTATATATTTAAAGTGAGAATTGAAAAAAACTCTTGAATCTTACTAAGATCTATTGTTTTCTGAATCACCAAAGATTTATGCTTGTTATAAATAGTGAGTCTCTTCTGGTTGCAAATTGTCATAAAAAGTTTGATATAAGTATAAAATTAATGAAGAGGACATTTTCTGGAATGAATCAACCAGTGGTTTGATAAATATTTTTTTCCAATTCATTTGGAGGTATATTTTTCGCTATATTGTTGAATATCTATTTTATATTGGAAAAGTGAGTCATATGGGACAAGCAAAATCTTCATTGAGATGAATGGTTATGCTTCATATTTATTTGCTTTGCCAAGTGGTCACTGAAATTTCTTTCACCCTGTAATGTACAAAATTGTGGTTTAGAATAGCTTGAAACGTTCTATCAGAACTGTGCAACCAGTCTTTACTAAGTAAATTTTTTTTATTGGCTGTACATCAGGTGAGTGTTTATTTTGCTAGGCCTCTTGTAAGACCTCAATTTGGAATTATTTGTTTTACAATATACAACTTCTTTACAGAATTCAAAGTCTTTCTACAAAAGAGACAAGGGAAGGCGTCAGTTATTTGACAGGATGTGATCTCCACCATGCCTCGGACATTGATGAAATTCCAGCTCCAAAAACAATTCCAAAGTATGATCATCTTCCTTCAAGTCAGTTGTTAAATGCTGAAGAGATCTATTTCGACTTGGAAACTACTGGACTCGGTAAGAACCTAAATGAGTTTTGAATGTCTAGTCAATGCTGATGGTTATGGCACTCTTCCAGTATTTCTTCTATATGCATGTCAAAGGAATAAACCCAGCATTTTGTAAACAGCAAGAAAATTTCTAATCTGTTTGTCACAAAAACCACCAAGAAGTGTTTATCACAAGATATGGGAATCACGATCAAGTAAACAATTCTATAAAAGAAGGATCTATCATGTTTTGCGGTTGAATATGATTGAATATGATATTCTATCTCCAAGCCTTAGCAGCAAAACTCCATGACAACACTTTCAGTCATAAACAATTGTGATATCACACCCATGTAATCTCAAAATTTATTTCCTGATTGATATCCACCAGATGTATGGGAAGCATATGCAAAAGGAATGTATGAAAACATGATTAATTTCGAAGATTTGAGACACTCATATGACCTTTTGTAATTGGTCCCTGTCCACTGTCTGCCATGTGTAAACTAATAAACATTTTTAACTTCCTGAAAACTATATGGCTCCCCCCCCCCCCCCCCAATGTTTGGTATAAAGCATCTTCAGAGTAAAGAGGAATTTAAATGTTATGGCTCTTGCACCTCAGAGGCCTGTGGGTGGGACAAAAACCAATGAAACTAAATGCACATAATTTATACAGAGGTAATATATGTTTTTCAAAAATTATATATTTTCTGTTGCTAATATTGAATAAAAGCAAATGCATATTTTGAAATGGCATAAAAGAAGTTTTTAAACCTCTATGATTCTGGTATTGGTAGTTGAGCATGTTTTATATCATTCTTTCAAAACTTTACTTTTCCTAATCTGACAACACTGAATTAAAAGAAAATGCATACTCTGAAAGAGTTCAAGCATTTTCGACAGGAGTTAAGGCTTGGGGAAGAGGGGCACTAGTATTTCATTGTTTCAAAATTTTTGAAATAGTGCATATATCAATGGATTTGTTTGGATATTTTATGTTTTGAATTTCAAAAACTTGAATATACTTGTTTTTATTTTCAGCAAGGGATTCTCATATTGTGCAGTTATCTGCAGTTAGAAATGATGAGGTATTCAACAAGTACATCATTCCAAAAAAACCAATGACATCAAAAGCTACAGAAATAACTGGAATACAAGTAGTCAACAATAAAATGTACCACAATCATGAGGAAGTTGAGACAGTCAGCATTAAAGATGCTCTGATCCAGTTTATGGACTTCATGAAGATGTCGGGTCCAGATGTTGTTCTAGTTGGGCATAACTCTAAAGTGTTTGACCTTCCTGTGCTCTTCAACATTTTGAGTAAACTAAACATTTTGGAGACATTTTCATCTGCAGTCACTGGCTTCATTGATACAATTCCTCTTTTCAAAATGACACATCCAAACCTTTCGTCATACTCGCAGTTACACCTCTTTGCAGAAATTCTACAAGACAAATACAGTGCGCATGACTCATTACAGGATGTCATAGCCTTGAAGAGATTGGTCGATCATACAGGACCCTCCCATGAAGTCAAAGTTGCTGCATCCTTCACCTTGAACTCTGCCGTTGCCGTGTTTCATCACAAGAACACAACAAAGCATCTAATGAGTACACTAAGGCCTTTATTGGACCAAAAGGTAATTTCGAATGGAATGGGAAATAAGATTGCCGGCAGTGGACTCTCCTTATCCCACTTACAACTTGCATATCAGAGAAATGGTAGGGAGGGAGTGCAGGATGTGCTGTCAGAGATAGCTGATAATAGTGTGCGTGTGACAAAATCTAAAAAAATCATTGATTCTGTTGCAGATTATTTCAGGTCTGAGCAGTAATGCAGTTATTTGTTTGTGAATGTATGATGTTCTTTGTATGTTATTGTTTGTTTGTTTGTTTTACGTCCCTTTGAGAATTTTTCACTCAAATTGGAACCCCACGAGTTGTTGATGTACTAGTAATGCCCCCGCTCTGAGCACTGATGTGAATATACCCTCTGATGTGAATATACACAAGTTCAGCTATGGACAGACACAGGAATAAACAGGAAGTTGACACTGGATTCGTACAAAAATGAATCCCACCAAATGGCATGCCTAAACAAAGAGTGTGCTAAGATTTCAAACATCTCCGATGAGTAGTTGCTGAGAAAACTGTGACGAAAATTTGTTATGCATGGTATTGACAGACGCACAGATAAACAGGAAGTTGAAATTGGATTCGTACAAAATAAATCTTACTATATGGCATGCCTAAACAAAGTGAGTGTTAAAACTTCAAGTATCTGCTATAAGTGGTTGCTGAGAAAACTGCGACAAAAATTTGTTATGGACAGACAGACACACAAGGATAAAACAGTATATACTCCCTCTCCTTCGGAGTGGGGGTATAATTATGCAATGCACTGTTGTATATGAAACATGTTTCAATGTCTAGTGTTATTGGTAGTTTGTAGTTGAACAAAACATTTTCTTTCCATTCAAAATAAATCCAATTTAGAAACTGAATTGACAATGATTTATTGACCATACATGAGAATCTAAATTCTGTTCATTGATATTTATTGAAGAAAGCTATGTGCATAAATTGAAATATGCACAAATGAATATGAAAGGACATACTGCAAATGTATATTGTGCATGCACTATACTTGGTGGTGATTAATTTTTCAACAAGTCAAGCTAGGTTTGATTTTGGCACATTTCTGATTGTGTACCAATAAATATACACGTCATAAAGTTTGTGATGTTCTTGATATAGCGGAAGCAGCTTTCTGTCAAAGACGATAAAAAACCTTTATGTTTACAGTATACAGCAGTGCCATTAAATTTTTGTATGTTACATGTACCGGTAACAATTTGAAATACCGATAACTATCACAATGTCTGTAAACTTTTCACATTTTTGATTTCTTCTCAAGAACCACTGGACCAATTTCAACCAAACTTGCCACAAAGCATCCTTGGGGTAAGGGGATTTAAGTTTGTTCACAGGAGTGCCACGCCCTCTTTCAAGGGAAGATAATTAAGAATTTGGTAGCATCTTTAAAAAAATTTCTCAAGAACCACTGGGCAAGAGAAGATGAAACTTGTGTGAAAGCATCATTACATACTGTAGATTTAAGTTTTGTTAATCTGGGAAGTTTATATACTGAGACCAGCTTTGTAATATGAAAGATTAAAACCCAAAGAAGTAGAGTTTTCAGAATTTTTCCAAGAATGAAATTTAATAATCTGTATCCAGTCTTCTTGCAAATAAATATTCTGTCTTGAGAGGGCACGAAAATAATCTGACTCGATACCCCCCCCCCTCCCCCCCTCTTTCCCCCTCAATATCAAATATAGTCGTTCACTAATATATTTTAATGTCCTTTTTTTAAGAGAAAGAATGAGTTTTAATACAATCATACATTCATGCAAATGGAAAATTCATCAAAAATAACAGGCTAAATAATGTAGGAAGCAAATATAATCAATCCGAATTTCCTCTGTTCAAAATTTGAGGAAAATTCGGTCAGAGGAAATTCAAATGAAAATATCTTTTAAAGTAACTCATGTAGATATACAATATTTTACATTGTTTGAAAGCACTACAACTAAGAAATAATTAACTAGAAAAAAATTAACTTTTTAATTATTTCTAATTCATTTTCCAAGCTTATTTTACAAGCCCCCAAAATGAAAAATAAGCGAATTTTTGCACAGGGGTGTGTGCATTTTTTTAAAGAATTAATTTTATCTTCGGTTGATTACCATCATTATTTCATCAATATTTATTTTCCTTATGACTACTTTTAAAAGATAACAAAAAGTCAAAATGATTTGAAAATATTTTTTAGGTTAAAGGGAATATTAAATACGTTGGACGCATTTTTGGTCTTTTTCTTTACTAAAATGAGAGATTTACCTCCCTTTGGCATAAACGCCTATAGCTTGTAAACCAAATCATATACATATGCATTTTTTTGGCTTAAAATAATTAATTATGTTTATTCTTACAATTAAAAAAGAAAAATTAAATTTTTAATTATTTTTGTTGTCAGAAGCCAAACACCTTAAGTCATGGAAGGACAAATTATACAAACACAAACATGACTTGACAAATATAGAAAAAATGTGCCTCTGTATAACCGAGTTTTCTGATAAGTTACAAATTCGGTACAGACTAGAATATATTGCAAGTATTTTAATTTAAGACAGATGATACAAACAAACTTTAGCAAAAAACTTGAAAATAAGAACTTAAGCCATGTATATATAAGTAAATTTCCAGTTTCACAATACTAGGATTTTAAAGTGACAAAATGTTGTATAGATTAATAAGGATGGTTGCAGAAAGATAGAAATTTGAACATCATAGGAAGTTTACAATTACTTAATATTTTAGAAATTTATTATTTGCATCATTTACAACCAAAATATGTCCAAAAATTATACCAATCCAGGTATCCATTTTTTGTGTCATCTGTCCTTAAGAACCCTCTATACACTGCACACTAATGAGTTCTGATTCCTTGGTATTTTTATGTAGTTAGAGTAATCTACCCTTACATCTAAAACAAGATAAATTGAAATCTACAGTTTATCGATAATTTTTTAATCAATTCAAGCATTCTTAACATTTTGATGGGTTAAGATAAATTAATTGAACACTTCATCTGCATGCCTTTTCTCCACTTCAGTAAACAACAGTGATTTCTGTTCATCAAAACTTTGAACATTTTTGCTGGGGTAAAAACCAGGCACCCTATGTTGAAAACGATAGAAATAAGCTCAATATTTACATCTTTATACAACATATTTTTCTCAATGTCCAAAAATCATTTTCGTTTAGTGTAGAGAGTGTCCTTAAGGTCCAGTACAGCATGTATAGTTTACCAGATGTTATTGAGAATTTTTTTTCATGCGTTTTTCTAAAATATTGGATCACCATATAACATAATTTAATGTTACCATTTTATTTAATGATAATATCCCCTACTTTCTTTTGATGCATGCAATTTTCTGGATAACCTCCCATTCATTTTATAAACCTCCTGTTGTCTACGGTTCAAAATTACTGCTTTTGAAAATAGAAAGCCTATATGATATGACGTTTTTCATACTAATTCTTAGACCATTATTTACACACTGAATTGTATACAAATTTTTCCGTTTTCTCGATCATGACAAGGAGCACACGACGGGTGTGACCGGTCGGCAGGGGATGATCACTCCTCCATGGCACCTGATCCCACCTCTGATGTTTTAGAGGTCCATGTTTGCTCTGCTCCATATTTGTATTGTCTAAATGATATTTAATGGACTTTGAGCTTGAACACTGTTCGTTATCTCCATATTTCATGCATTAGTAAGGAATTGTTGAAGCTGGTGATAGTTCTGAAAAAAAAAAACAGATTGGAAGCAAAGCAAACTATTGGACATCTAAAACACCAGAGGTGGGATCAGGTGCCATGGAGTAGAAAACAATCCCGTCGACCCGTCACACCCGCCGTGTGCTCCTTTCAAGATCGGGCAAACGAAAAATCTGTAGACAATTCAGTGTAAAAATGATCGCCTAACAATTTGTATGAAAAACGTCGGTCAACATTCGACTTAATGATATATTGTATTTACTGAAAAGGTAATTGTATCAAACATAAAATGTACGAAATGTTGACTTTAAGCAACGCTGTTGATATCCTTGTATCATCAACTTCTTTGTCAATTGCTTGCCTCGTCTTAGAAATTGTGCGTATGTAGAGCATGCTCATGCGTATCGAATCAATAGGGAGTCATAAATTTTATATGCAGATGATAAAGGTATATTGCTACAAAATAAAGGGAAGTATTAGCTCCAATACAAACTTACTTTAATATCTATTGTAAGAAAATAGACCTGGAAACATAAAAACCTTAAATAGGTAAGCTGATCATTTGATGTAAGTATACAACCACCTAAGAAGTCTTCCGCAATTATATAGCCCCTTCTTGTCAGATATTTTTGTTTGTTTGTTTGCAGTTTAACGTCAATCTCGAGAATTTTTATTCATATGGATATGCAACCACTTGCCGGTGGAATGCTGCAAATTTAGACCTATACTCTGCACTCCGGCCATTGAGCAGTGAGGGATCTTTTTCGTTCCAGCACTATTGCGACAAGGGACCTCGGTTTATACGGTCTCATCAGAAGGACCGATCTCCACGTCCTGCATTGGGATTCGAACCCTCAACGAAAGCTTATGCTTACATTAATTGAAATTTGAAATTTACTTGATATGCTTAACTACATAACAATGAATGTTTGCTGTAAATTAGGCATGCATTTTGCCAGTAATAAGTTTTAAATTGTTGAATTTTAATTACATTTTACGATGAAACCCATCAACAGAAAAAGTGTCGACTCGTAAAGCAGAGAAATAAATGGAATTGAATTTATATGTCTTTGAGTAAAGGTACTAAATGGTTCTAAATGGCGCCTCAAAAATGGGAACAGTTAAACAAATATACACCTAGACACTTGAATGACCTTAGTCTGAAAACCTGTCTTTTAAACTAAGACACTGTCTAAACATTATCGCTAAGCTTAGTCGAAACTAATTAAGAAATAAAAAACACATTATTCAGTGAATCTATGACGTTATAAATAACGATTGCTATGCTGGCGGATTACAGTTGATTCTACCCTACTTATATACTGGATTCCTAAAAATCCTAATAAAAGATAAATTATCGGATCCAGCAAATGCTCTACCAATTAAGTACGGAAACGGAAAAGTACCATTAACACACTTTTTAGCTCACATGAGCCGAAGGTTCAAGTGAGCTTTTCTGATCGAAATTTGTCCGTTGTCTGTTGTCTTTGTCGTCGTTGTTGAAACTTTTTCACATTTTCGTCTTCTTCTCAAGAACCACTAGGCCAATTTCAATCAAACTTGCCACAAAGTATCCTTGAGTAAAGGGGATTTAAGTTTGTTCAAATGAAGGGACACGCCTTCTTCCGGGGGGTGGGTGGGGTTAATTATGAATTTGTGAAAAATTAATGGCATCATTTAAAAATCTTCTTCTCAAGAACCACTGTGCTTGAAATTATGAAACTTATGTGGAAGTATCCTCAGGTAGTGTAGATTTAAGTTTGTTCAAATCATGACCCCCAGGGGTAACGTGGGACCACAATAAGCAATCAAAGTTTTATATAAAGGAATAAATAGGAATTTTTTTAAAAAATCTTCTTCTCCAGAACATCAAAACCATGATTGTTCATATTTACATGTATATGGAATATCCTCAGGTAATGTAAATTCAAATTTGTTCAAATCACCCCCCCCCCCCCCCCCCCCCAGGAGAATAGAGGGACCATAACAGAGGATCATAGTTATACGAAGGATATATGAATAAAAAAAAAATCTTCTTAAGAACAGCAAAGCCATTATTGTCATAATAATTCAAAAGCATCCCTATGAATTATAGATTCAAGTTAGTTCAAATAAATCAACCCTAAACCACTTTTATATTTAAACTTTTCAAGACTGAAGTGATTTCTGCTTTTTTCTAAGCCAGAATTTTCAGCTGAGTGATGTGGCCCCTGGGCCTCTTATTATCATTTAATCTGTAATTTTTCAGTTAAATCTTTAATCTCATTTTACAGATCGTAAAATATACAGATTAAAGCGTATATTTTACATATTAAAGTGTAAATTGCGCAGATGAAAGTGAAAATTATATAGATTACTGTGTAAATTATATAGATTAAAGTGTAAATTTTACAGATTAAAGTGAAAAAATCTACATGTAAAAGAGTAAAATTTACAGATTAAGGTGTATCTTTCATAGAAAAAATGTAAATTTCACAGTTAAAAGTGTAGAAAATGGAAAACAAAAAAGTGTCTTAGTGGCACTAATACACTGCCGTAACCAAGCCCCTATCTTTACTCCTCACAAAAACTTTTACTTCCTCAGATGCTGTGCTACAGCATATTCTAAAAGTGGTGTTAATCAAATGTTTCTCAAAATCTCCAATGAACTTTTACAAAATATAAAATCACAAAATTTTTCAAAAGGCAATAGCATCAAAATTTCTACACAATACAACCATTCCTTATGATGAATTGAAAACTAGGCTTTTTGATATCATAGATAGCTGCTTCATTAATCAAAAAGGAACTCGAACATTTTCAAATCTTGTGATTGGTCATCTACAAAATCACTTTGTTAAATTCACTCTGGTTAAATTGACATTTAAAGGATGTTGGAGCTTCTACATTTACTGTAAATAACTTTTTATTCTCGAGAACTTTACTTTAGAGCGATTACACGAGTCTGTCTCCTCGCGAAAAATTTCATTCTCGCTTACATTAGTGCTTTTAAAGAATATATACAGAGCTATGACCGAAATTCGTGAAAATTTTGTCCCGCTAATAAATACCAAATACCAAATAATAATCTTGTGAAAATAAGATCTTGCAAAAATTAGGTGATCTACAGTATGTATTTTGGAGACAAGGTCTTCCAACAATCTGTTAGAATTTCAATGGGCACTCATTTTGCTCCTTTATCAGCCGAGATGTTTTTATATTTTTTATAAAGCAGGAAAAATTCAAAAACTTCATGAGAAGAAGAAAACGATTGTTTTGGCCTTTAACTCGACCTTCAGATATATCGACGACGTTTTATCAATTAACCATAATCACTTCCTTTCATGTTTCGACTTTAAATATCCCAGTGAACTCGAAATAAAAGATAGAGTCTGTCACATCTGTTTCATATTTGGATGTTATACTGACTATAGACGATAAGGGCCAACTATTAACTAAATTGTATGACAAGCGAGATGACTGCATTTTTTCCATCGTCAACTTACCTTAATTATGTAGTAATATTCCACTATCAACTGGGTTTTATTTTTCCCAACTTATTCGATACTCAAGAGCATGTTCAAAGTATGATAAATCTTTAAACAGAGACTGGCTACTGACATAAAAGTTGATGTTTCAGGGATTTCAATGACATTGTTTAAAGTCAGCATATCGTTAATTGTATGGTCGTTAACCTATCATTGGATCGTATTCGGACTGTCATATTTCACACCAATACGTTCTATTTCCATTAGTGAACTCTTCAAAATTAGAGGCGCGCTTGGTCGTCTGACTGGGAAAGCATGGCGCTGAGGATAATACAAAACATGCCAATCTCAATCCAATTTTAAATGTTAAATGTATTTGTCATTCCAGTTAAAGAATAGAAGAACTAAATGACATATGTAAGAGAGCGAGAACCCTAAATTTATCATCCATTAATAAAAAATACGACATTTCCGAGGCATGTGTATTGTATTTAGATGTACCATACGATAAATAGATACATACAATCAACAACAGATATAAATTGATATCGTTGTCATTCCTACTCTTGATGTATATAAAGTCCACAACAATAAAATATTTCATTTGCATTTTCTTAGGAATTGTTTGAACATCGACATACATGTTTATGTTACGTTTGTCCCAGAAATCCCACGAGATTTGTACATTTTCCGACTTTTTCACAAAAGAGCGCACTAAGAAGTATATCTCTTCCATAGTGTAAATAGAACGTATTGTAAGGCTTTTATTCTTATAAATTTGACTACAGAATACTGATCATTACATAGGGCTCAAGACAGGTGTGACCGGTCAACGGAAATGCTTACTCCTCCTAGAAACCCGTTCTAACCTCTGGAATTTCCAGGGGTCCGTATTTTAAGCCCTGTCCAAAGATTAATATTATTTGCCATTTTTTTTAGACCGATCACAGTTCGTTACCTTCGACTTTTTCATTCTAGCAAGCGTATGATCTTGGAAAATATGCCAGCAGAGCAAATGCTATTTATAACGCCATGTTCACTGAAAAACGTTATTTATGACATATTTGCATTTCATTAAGAATGACAGACGAGAGGCTGACCAGGATATGCGCACTGCTGTCTTCATTAATAATTGAAGATAATAAGTACGCATGCCTAATTCATAGTTACTAACGCTTTACTTGCTTTTAATACCTCATTTTGATACGTATTTTTGACGTCATCATTTGAAGATTCTCACCCCTTTGACAGATTAAAAAAAAAACAACAAATGTGGACTTTGTATTAATTTTTGCATTTTAAAAAATTCATTTTTAGTTTAAATGAAATAAGAAAAGATCTTTAAAGTTTATGAAGAGTAATTTTTCCTTCTTAATGTAAAAATATGTTTAAGCACCTGCATTTTATTCTTAATTTCAAAATTTTGTTCATCGCTCAAAATTAATTTCAAAATGTTGAAAAATAATTCTTAATCAATATTTTTATTATCATATCATATATCATATTCTTTTGGAAATTTTAACCTTTATTTCATTACATTTTCAGCATAGAAATCGTGAAATTTATCCATTCAATTAAGCTAATATTTTCACAGACGTGATATTTTCACGATGAAAACACGGACTTGTTATTTTCTCAGTGAAAATAATAAATTATCAAACTATCCTGCCCTTCACTAAGTGTTTAAAATACTCCCTATTGACAGAGTGAATAAACCAACCTGACACTGACTAAAACTGCCGTATTTTAATTCTAATGACCCTCTGATAGGAGAAATAATTTCCTGATCAATAAATTTCATAAGTATCCAACAATACAATTCATCAGGTGATACTTATTTAGCCGAGTTTTTGCTCACTCATAATATTTTCCTGAAGTAAGTACACCTGGTACACCCGGTTGGCAAAGGTTTATACTGGATAAAAATCTTTACTTATATTTCCTTTTGTCATTTTTTTGATAGTCAATTATACTTCTTGTCCTAGAACATTTGCACCCAGTTTGATTTACTTGTTATAAATAGAATATTAATATCTTTTTTAATATATATATATTTAAGAATGCATAATTTACCATGTAAAATGTATACTGTAGTCTTTTGCTTATTATCCTTAATTTTTTTTCTCTTACAAAAAGGGGAAAAAAAGAAAATAAGAAAGATAACATTTGCTGATGGACGCGCTTTCTTTACAATCATGAATACATAAGCATGTGCTATTCGGACTAAAAAAGCATCGCTTCATTATGTTTTCTAATATGAATTTATTATGTATATTCACTAAATATTATCCTTATATATCTCTCTCATATTTTTGATTTTATGTCGTGATAATAAATGATCATTCATTCTATTTACTGTGTCGAATGTTTTTCATATCAAGGTTAGACATAAAATTAATTTCTGACAAAGTAAGCCTTGCTTCATGCTTCAAAATGTATTTCCTCTGAATCTCATCTTTTTGTTGTTGATGAAAATTAATGTTGGGATTTTTATTTATTGGGTGGCATTTAGAACAGAATGTCATTAGACCTTAAAATCTATGTTTATAATCATGATAATGGTTTAGCGACACGTATTTCGCAAACTGCTCAGCTTAAGTTTACAACTTTTTTAACTAACAACAGGGGCATCAATGATTTGTAGATGGAAAATAGATTATATTTATATTTTTCACTCCTACTTTGCACTGGTGAAGAAAAACTGCAACTCATTGAATATCTCCGATTATTCTTTTTAACAATAATCGCATTATTATAGATAAACTCATAAACAGCGGTTATACGCCCTTATTCAGTTAAGTTGTGCCAATGGCCATTTGAAAATGTCCACTAAATTTCATATCTTATAACGAAGAGAACATTTTCAGTATTTTTCTGTATGTCGATTTATGGTGAAAAGAAATATTCGGATTGAAATATTAAGTATTAATCACTAACATAAAAATTTGGCACGAGATACAATATAGCGCATTTATTAACAAAAAAGTAAACCACAAAACATATGACTATTTGACCTTTTAAATAAAACTTCATCTGAAATCGTTCTGATTAAATAAATTATTGACATCATTGACAGTTTCAAACGAATGATTGTAATTTCATATAGCTGAAAAAAGGAAATTTTGAATTATATAGACTTTACTTGAATTTTTAATTTCTTGCATTTGTAGAGGACAGAAAATACGGAATTCGTACAAAACAACATATTTTCAACAAAGAATTTAATGAATTAAACATGGAAAGCATGAAAGGTTGTAGGGTTTCATGGCAATAGAATTTCATAACATAATTCACTATAAATTTTGTGACAATGAGATATTACAATTTTTATTAATTAACACTAATCCAAGAACCTGTTTTTAATACATTATTTTATTTTATATTTTTCTTCTACAATTTAAATTTATGAAATAAATCGACTAAGATTATTTTTGACCAACAAAGATGCAATTTTCTTTGCATACCGTCAGTTTGTGACACGAGTTTTCTGAGAGTTTTTTGATACTTTTATATTTCAAAATAGCATTTAATATTATACTTCATACTGAATTTTTTTTTACAGGTCAATATACCTTTATTATTAACCCCCCCCCCCACTCTTTTTCCATATCTAGCACTTTTTAAAAACATTGTTATTTGTATGTGACAAGAAAACGTATAATTGGCACAACTTAACTTGGACGTATATTGTATGACAGTTATTTTTTTTTTTTTTTTTTTTTTTTTTTTTTTTGCGAAATCTTAAATCAAAATGAATACAGCATGACAGCAATTGCTTTTATGGAGTCATAAATGCAAATAAAGAGGGGTGTGAGATACAAAATAAAATATAATAAGGACAGTTGACGTCATGCTCTTCTCTGAGCTCAGATAGTAATCTCATGCAAGTACATATGGTAAAGTGCAAAAGTGTGTCTGTTTATTCAGTAATGAGGTCTGTACTGTACCAAAGTGATTACACATTAAATATTTCTTCATTTTAAAATCAATTTTAAAAATTTGTAAAATATTGATTTTATTTTCCTCCTTCAAAATACCACATTATACACTCTCAAAGTCACCAGATTCAGACTTACCATAAACCTATTTATACTTCAGAGTCATAAGTATGAGTATGGACACTGTAAAGAGTGCGCAGGACGTGGTGAGATGTGACCTGTGTGAGACCGCTGTGGTACAGATACACAGTGATTCTTGTCTTGTCAACCTGTGTAAGGCCTGTGTGGGAGAACACATGATCTCTGATGAATCCAAGGACCACAAGGTCATCAAATATCAGTCCAGGAAATCCACTCCTCTCTACCCTGAATGTAAATATCATAACTCACAACAATGCATAATGTACTGTAATCAATGTAAAATTCCTGTTTGTAAAACGTGTCTTGCATCTCAACATCTTAGTCATAAGGTATCAGAAATCTTGAAAGTTGTGAATGAAAGAAAGGATAAATTAATCAAAGGACGAGGTAAATTAAATGAGACAATTTATCCAACTTCCCAGGACATTGCCTCTGATGTACAAAATAGAATTAATAAGTTAGAAAAGGAATATGAAGATCTCTCAACAGCCATAACAAAACATGGAGAGGACTGGCACAGAGAAATTGACAACTTTTTAATAAAACTTCAAGCTGAAGTTGATGAGACGAAAGACACCCAGTTACAAACTCTACAGAAACATCTGGATGAAATAAACAAGAACATTTCTGACATTAAGAATGAAATCATATCAATTGAAAGGGCTATAGAGGCTAATGACTTGTCAAAACTATTAAGAGTCAAATCCCATGTACACATGTACAGTAATCTTCCACACAAAATTGCCCCTTTTCTTCCAAAATTCGTTCCAGGAAAAGTCCAAGGAGAAAAATTTAGTAAACTGTTTGGAACCTTATCATCAAGTTCTTTAACATTTGATGAGCATGGCTACAGCATGAAATCATCACATAAATGTCCAGAAACTGGATCCTCTTCTCCAGTCAAACAGCTGCTTGACGAACCAGAGATTGTTACAAATATAGACACTGGGTATGAATACCTTATCAATGTGGCCTGTCTGAGTGATGAAAAAATCTGGACAAGAGGAAATGACAGCACCATTAAACTCTTCAACATCAATCAGGGATCACTACTCAAGTCAATCAAAACCAAGTCAGGTAACATACCATGGGACATAGCAGTAACAAAAAGCGGAGTTCTTGTCTATACTAATGTCAGTGACAGAACTGTGAACATTGTGAAGAATAAAAAGATAGAGAACGTAATCAGACTCCATAACTGGACACCACGTGGTGTCTGTGGCACCTCCTCTGGTGACCTCCTGGTTACCATGTGTAGTCATGACGACAAACATTCAAAAATTGTCCGTTACTCCGGTTCCATAGAGAAACAAACCATTCAATATGATGATTACAGAAGACCTCTCTATTCGATATACACATGTATAACTGAAAACCGGAATTTGGATATCTGTGTGTCTGACAATGGAGTTAAAGCTGTAGTGGTGGTCAATCAGGCCGGGAAACTGAGATTCAGGTACACTGGATATACTCTTGCTCCGAAAAACAAACTATTCATTCCAGTTGGAATCACCACAGACAGTCAGAGTCACATCCTTACTACTGACGATAACAATCACTGTGTTCACATTATAGATAAGGATGGGCACTTCCTCCGTTACATAGAATGTGGTCTGCGTGAACCTGTGGGACTTTGTACAGATATAAATGATAATCTATTTGTTGCTCAATGGAGAAGCAGACAAGTGAAGAAAATCAAATATCTGGTCAGATGCATCAATGTATAGATAAAAAAATGATAAATATTTTTCTTAATGAAACTTACCATTACATGTAAATGTACATCAATTAAATCATTGGTTGTACTTATGTTTGTTTGTCTATTGTTTAACGTCCCTCTTAAGGATTTTTCACTCAAATGGGGACGCCACCACTTGCCGGTGGAGAGCTGCAAATTTTGACCTGTACTCTGCACTCAGGGCCATTGAGCAGTGAGGGGTCTTTTTCGTGCAGCACATACTGTGACAGGAGACCTCGGTTCATACGGTCTCATCCGATTGACTGTCCTCCACGTCCCACAGTTAGATTCGAACCCGCGATGTAAGGATCAAGTCCTTACTCCGTGTCTCTAGAGCGAACGCTCTAACCAATGAGCCACGCGGGCGACTGGTTGTACTTAGAAAACCTCCGAGTTGAAAAAATGAGAACAAACCTCAGGTGAAGAAAATGAATATTCTCAGTGAAATTCACAACTGCATGTAATGTACACTGTATAATTATAAAGCAGCTATAATTCATTTTCGAGTTTGCAGATATATAATGTTCAATTTTCTTGCGATTTGTTTTATAACCTTTGCTCCTTAAGGTAACATTTAACTGCAGTGCAACTTTAACACTCAACATTATCCAACTCTTGTATTTTTATCACCTCGCCAAGGCTCGGGGATAAAACACAAAACTCGTTGGATAAAAACATCATATCCAACCACAAACCATGGGAGATCCTATATTTATTTTATTATACATATTCCCCTATTCCCCTAAAGTTTACTTTAATCCAAGCCCCTTACCCCAAATTTAACGTAGACTACAAGATCTATATTCACAGAATGTTTTCTGTTTTACTTCTCATGGAAACTGATTGCGTTAATTACTCATTTAACTTTAAACTATAATTTGATCTGGGGTTTTGAAGTCACCGGTGTATGAACGATTTCATAAGGAGTGAGTTTTTCCCCAATATAACTTATGCTTCAATTATACAATGTTTCATTTACTTTCACACCCACTTTATGCTTTAAATATCAACATATAATTCTAATATAAAATGTGAAACGCGTACTAAGGTTATATTTTTTCCTGCAATGACTACACATTAAGTACAAATTAAGTACATCGTACTAGAACCTGGCAAAAATAGTCATTATTATATCAGACAAGATCAATGAAATTAACAAATTTAGAATGAAATATGGAGATAACGACCAGTATTTAATCTAAAGAGTCCATTCAAACAATACAAATCAAAAGTAGAACAATCACGAACCTCTGAAACATCAGAAGTGGGATTAGGTGCCATGGTGGAGTGAGTATCCCCTGCCGACCGGTTACACCAGCCGTGTGCTCTTTGTCATGATCGAGAAAAACGGAAAAATCAGTAAACATTTCAGTGAGTAAATAATGACCTAACAATTAGTATAAAAAACGTCAGTCAGCATTTGACTTAACGATAGACTGTATTTGCTGACAAGGTCATTGTATCGACCATACCATAGAACTTGCAAAATGATGACTTCAAACGAGACTGTTGATATCCTTGTTTCATCAACTTGTTTGCCAATAGGTTGCCTCGTTTTGGAAATTGTTTGTTCGTAGAGCATGCTCTTCCGTATCGAATCATTTGAGAGACACAAAACCCAACTGCTGGTGATAAGGGTATATAGCTACATAAGTAAGGGAAGTTGACGATTGAAAAAATGAAGTCATCACGTTTATCATAAGGCTGTGTTGTTAGGTTACCTTTAAAGTATTTTTCTAGTGAAATATCCAAATTTGAAACAGATGTGTCAGACTCTGTGGTATCTTTTTATTTCAAGCTCACTGGAACATATGAATGGATGTAGCTATTCTTAAGTTTGAAGTCATCATTTGCTCAGGAATGATGAATATTAATTGCTGTATTTATGAGAGCAGCATAATACATGTATATGTAAAGGATATTAACTTTATACTGTAAATGAAGATATTTTATATGTACATAATGAAAGATTTGAAGATTAAACAAATATCGATCTAAAAAAAGAAAGAAAAAACTACAAATAATACAAATCTGTGAACTGTCACAGGCCATCAATCATGGACCCCCGGAAATCCCATAGGGGGATCAGGTGCCTAGGATGAGTAAGCATCCCCTGTAGATCCGTCAAATCCGCCGTGAGCCCTATGTATTGATCAGGTAGACATAGTCAAATTAGTATAAACAAAGGCCTAACAGTTGGTAGGAAATAGATCAGTAAAAATAGGACCCAATGATATGATGTATCATTATAACGACCATAGAATTTACGAAATGCTGTAACATTAACTTATCTGTCAGTAGCCAGCTTCGGTTTAAAAAAATAATCGTACTCAGAGCATGCTCTATAGTATCAATTAAGATGGGAGACATAAACACCATATGCAGGTGATAGTGGAATATTACTACAAAAATAAAGAAAATTGACGATGAAAAAGCGTCAGTCATCTCGTTTGGCATACAATTTAGTTGTTAATTGGCCCTTATCGTCTATAGTCAGTAAAACATCAAAATATGAAACAGAAATGCCAGACTCTGTGTTCACAGTCTTTAATTTTATTGCTTAAATATCAGTGTTCATACTTTTATTCATCGTTATTTCCAGATCATGACAAGGAGCACACGGCAGGTGTGACCGGTCGGCAGGGGATGCTCACTCCTCCATGGCACCTGATCCCACCTCTGATGTTTTGGAGGTCCGTGTTTGCTCTGCTCCTATTTTGTAATGTTCACTGGACTTTTGAGCGTGAATACTGTTCGTTATCTCCATATATTTCATCTATCCCTTTTCTCAATCATCTACCAGAATTCAATATGCGGTGATAACTTGTCGGCACGGACAGGTGCTGTTATAGGACCGACGCCATCCAAATATAAAAATCCAAAGCTTATATTTACATTCTCTAATTTTCTGTCTTCATAATTCTTAATTTTGTTAATCTTTATAATGAATTTTGCGCCTTTCATAACTGATGTGCTTAATAGACGTAAGAGCCGTTGTGACGTGAAAAGTTAAATAACGCAAATTAAATGATAAATTAATTTGAAACGTACAGTTCCTATATTTTTTTTTTTTGCAAAAATTCAATAGGGTAATTGTTTTTAATTAAATTGAACCAAAACAATATACGTTTTGGTGTTCCTAGAGTATTGAAAATGCATATAGTTCCTACAGTGTATCCTACCGCGCAGTGATAAGGTTTAGCGTGTGTTATAAGGTATTGAATGTTGTAAATTTCCAGTGGATTTCTTATAGAAAATTACACTGAATGTAAATATAAAAGTATACTTGGAATATGTTGGCAATCACAATCAAGATCCACAGAATGTGTTTTAAATTAATATAGAACTATATATATATATATATATATATATATATATATATATATATATATATATATATATATATATATATATATATATATATATATATATATATATATATATATATATATATATATATACACTCGTCACATTCAGTAAATATGAGAAAAGAAGAAACGAAATCTGGCATTCATTAACATGACGATATTGATGTATTTTTGGAGGGGGGGGGGTATGTTACACATCATTCTATAAAGGACAAGGTGTCGTAACGGCTGAATCTGGCCACCTAATTTGATATAAAAATCATAACACAGTTAAAATATGATAGTTTGCATTTAAAAACGTTAAATGATTCTTATTGTAAAACCAGTAAAATTTGAATCAAATTATACAAGGGTGCCACAAGATGGTGATAAAAGCACAACACTTTATTGAATTTCCTCAACTCTTATGGAATTTCTTTGTTTAATTTTAGATAATTTTCACTTTGGGAAACAAAAAAGCACAAATCTAAGACTTTCATATACAAGATGTATCTGATACTAGTGCATGAAATACATAAATTTAGCATAGATAGAAACACTTGTGCTATGCTTTTTCCTGAAAGAAAATTGATGAAAATTTGAATAAAGATGAGAAAATATATGGAAGTTGACAATTAATTTTTTTCTGACCTTCCTGTGAACTCTGTGTATCCTATCACTTAGAATCAATACTCCTTTTGTAACAGGGATGATAACTTTTTAAAGAATCTCCGAACAATTTATGTATTGTGTAGTAATAAGTAAAATATACTCTAATATATTCCATAATTACTTCCTGATTGAACTTAAGAAGTGGGGTGATATCTCCAAGACAAAAGAGGGGTGAATCAAAAACAATAAGTCGTCCCGACTTCCTTCCGCTGACCATCAATTTCATTCTTTGCAGAAACCACTGCGATGCATTGAAAGGATTAAACCAATAAAGTTTTGAAAAGTTTGCTTTGTTAGTTACTGAGAAAAATGAAAATTAAAAAAAATCACCTTTTTCCAGTTTCCCTGGCAGACGGTAGGCATTTAGAAATTTTTGAATGCTGAATAAACAAATAGAGTGTCTAATCATAATTCCTGTAAATTTTCATCACAATTGTCCAAGCTACCTCGGAAAAAAATCTGTATATTAACCTTTTTTCTGTTTCTTTCATTCCTAAGGCATGCAACAAAAGATTATAATTTTTTTAAATAGAAATTACTTTGACAAAATGTAAGGAACAATCCTTACAAGTTTCAAAATGATTGCCTGAGCAGTTTGTGAGAAAATCGAAGTTTAGCAATTGTTACTTTTCTTCTGTTTCCATGGCAACGGTGGGTGGTCTGAAAATTTTAAATGCGATTTGCAAAACTACAATTATTGGTTAACATTTCTATGAAGATTCATTACGATTGTCTAAGATATCAGCAGAACACTTCTGGACAAAATTTTTCACTTTTCGTACGTTTCCATGGCAACGGTAGCCATGTTGAAACTGAATTTTTTTTCCACACACACATACAGCTGGTCATCATCTTATATGGAAAGTTCCAGCAGCAATGCCCCAGCCATCTGCGAGAAAGTCCCCGGACAACGTTTTCATGCGTACAATAGCAATATGTCCCCCGACCTCGTTCGGGGTGACATAATTAT